TACCATCTGTTTATCAACGGGAATTGAATCAAAGAGAAAAGATTATTGCAAATAGACTTAAAGAACTTTTGACGATGAAAGTGGTCGACAATCTCATGTAAATTAAAATGAAGCCAGTCTGGTCTCGTTTTTTCCACATATCGAAAAAAGCAAACGAAATAGTTCAACGAGATCAATTTTATCAATGATGAACAAATCTTCTCATAAAGTGGCTCTTTGGTTAAGGGAGAGGTCAGAAACTATTCAACAGCTGTTTGCGAAAGTGTGTCAACTAAACAATAAGATTATGTTCCCCTTCTTTAACACAGGTTTCCCTTCAGGGAACTTTTGACATCAGCAGTTAATACGCCGATCTTCTTCCTTCATCAAAACTGCAGTTTAAGTGGTTCCTCCTTTTAAATATCAGGGATGTAGGATTTCACTTCGCCAGAAAAATACATAGCAAAGCTGACAAAGGGACAACGGGTAGTCCGTTGGGTACTACACTGGCAGATAATGTATATGGATAGTCTTGAACCGACAATGCTCAGTTGTGAAATTCATGAAACAGAGGCCTACTAGAGGTACGTAGGTGACAGATTCATCGTATGCAACGAATTGAGTCAAGCTTCCTATCTACTTGGTTTATTTAACAGTGTACATGAAAACATCACATATAAAATGAAACATGAAAATGGGGGGAGATTCAGCCTCTTGGGTATCATCTTGGAGCAAATAACAGATGACTCACTTGAAAGATCGATGTATCTCAAGGGTACATGGACTGATCTACATCCATATTTCAACAGCTTTAATTCCATATGCAGACGAACGTTTTACAGCTAAAAGAATAAATTCGACTGATAGACTAGGCAGTGAACAAATGTTACTTGAGAAATACTTGAAAGAAAATGGTCACCCACAAAGCTTCATCAGTAAACCTGGCAAGAAAGTAAATTCCAACAAAAACCGACTTTTACTCACCTTGATTTCAAAAGCGATGATTCTGTGGCGATTGTAAATATCCTACAGTAAAATTAGTTTCTCTGTTCTGAACATCCTGCTGGGTAGCTCATTCAAAGATCGATAAGTACCCCTATTATGTTATCTGCAACTGTGTATTTCAATTCACGTGTGTATGTGAGGGCAGTTATATTCTGATAACAGAAAGAAGGGTTTATGTCAGGTTCTTTGAACAAAGAGGCTTCGATTGAAGAGGCTGAACTTTTTGATTTCTTCAGTCACACTGATTAGAGACATTGGCGGCATTCGGAAGAACTAACAAGCAAATTAACCCAAGTTTTCTTCGGTTCGCTGAGGCTATCTCAATAAAACCATTGGAAAATGATCTGTATTTTCAAAAGGAATCCATCGTTTGACTTCGTTTACCGTGATAACTCCTTTATTAACTCTTTTTCTCGATGGCATTCTTTATCGATTTTTATATTAGGCTTTTATTTTTGATCTTCTGAGTCCTGGTTATTGTTTTTTATTATGTCTTGTTATGTAGTTGTTGCTGACTTATGAAACTAGTTAAATAATAACATATTTGTTAATGTTACTACACTTTACAACGATATTTTCTTTTGAAAAAACGTCGTTAATAAAATATAAACATACATTGTAAAACTTATAATCATTACAATTATTTCACTATGATTTTGTTACAGTATCCCTTACTGTAGGACTGATTCTTATCGATAAACAAAAGTCTGTTCAGACTTTATTATAATTGATTGCATTAATTTCAGGCTTGATCACGGATTGATATCAGTTAGAAAACCATTAAAAACCATGCAGTACTGGATAGCTGTTTCGTCCTAGTTTGAGACTCATCGGCAGCACGCGCCCATTGGGTGTCGAACCCATGACCATTCAGCCACTGGAACCTGACTCAGTAGCTAGCCCATGAATTCTCATTTCTACTGATTCGTCATTTTATTACGACCATCAGCCAATATCATCAGTGAGTATCTGTTCTCAATTTCGACTGGATGGACCCTGCTAGTTGCGATTTGCCACTAGGACTCCAGACAACTCCATCCTACAACCAGTCACTAGGGAGCATAAGATTAATTTTTAAGAGTTTAAAGAGTTCGAAAACCGGTGGGTGTGTACTTCCGATGAGTCCCAAAATGGAACAAAAACAGCGCTCCAGTACTTTCTGGTTTTCAGTGGTTCTTTAAGTGATATCAATCCGTGTTCAAACGTGAAATAAATTAAATCCCTTAAACAAAACTTTTGAAAATAATTTACTGATCTTTCACTTTTACACAACTGAAGAGAAACTATGAAATGAAAAGAAAAGATGTTATTTTCACCCAATTTTTCTCCCTATGTTAGCTACTCGTTATATATATATATATAACAAGAAAAACTATCAGTAAAACAAAATCATATCTAGTAGTAAAATGGTAACAGTTTTATTTTGTTTGACTGTGTGTCACGAAAGCCACCGAAACCTGTATGTTTTATAAATGCTACTCTTCTCTAATTGTTCCGTTGGACAAAATTTTCAAAATACTGTAATTCTCTATCTTCTTTTTATTCTATATTATTGACATTCATTTTAACACAGATAATTTCTATTCAAGGCTATTTCTATTCAACACCATAATCCATTTCACTTTATGAAAAACACAACCGAAGTGTTATTTAATTCATCCGTCTGAATCGATCAATCAAGGTCATGGATCACAGAAGGTACAAAGTATTTCAAACATTTTGAGGATATTTCGTCAGGTATTTATCATAATTTGAAGAAAATGCAGTTTTATCTATTCAGCGAACTTTACAGATTGTTGTTTTCATTGCATGCATCGAGAAAAAACCAATTTCATAAGGTGATATACAACTTAGCGTGCCACACTGTATCGTTTTATTTGTTGAATAAATTAAAGGCGTCCAGATTTGTTTTTTTAAATAGAGATGAGAATAGAATTGAATGGGATGTTACCTGGAGCTGGAAACGAAGTCGTTTTAATTTGGGCTATCATCACATTTATATGCTTTCAAGCATTTGAAAATGAAGAGAATGAACGATACCAATATTTAGAACGAGCTTTAGTCAGCTGAATGACAAAACTTTTGGACAAGTATTATCTACTAGTTTACTGATGCAAATACTTATGGATTTGTGGATGAAATTTCTCACAGCTCTGAGAACTGTAAGAGTCACTATGAGCAAGTATGGATGATGCAGAGACTGAACACATTAAAGTCTCACTCTGAATTTTAGAAAGCCTATGTTCACACCAGATGACAGCAATTCTAGAATGTGTGCAATCGAATGAAATATGCAGATAAATTCTTCATGAATCTTGAATATAAAATTCTTACGTCTTACTAATTCATTTTTAATATGGATAGACAGTTCAATGTTTTCCTGATGCCGCATTTAACAGGCATGCATAATCAGTCTATGGAGATTGTAAAAGTTAATGAAGTTATATATAGCGAAACATTTATTGGATACGTACTTTTTATTCCATTTCATGTTCTTACTGTCCTTATTGCTGATATTTCACAGTTCGATCATTGTGTAAAGCAACTTTACTGAAGATATCTCGTTCTATGTGATAGTAACTCTTGTCTTTCTCTCAAATGTATGAACATTAATTCTGGTTTCATTCTAAAGGGTGAGAATGAGCAAGGTTCCTTCAATTCTTGGTTTTTTCCAGCAGATTCGTTATCAGCATAGCTGATGATGTCATCTACACTCATTCCAAGGGTCAAAAAGAAAACGCAATCTGTATTGTCTTCCATATGAGCTGTAAATGTCCGCAATCTAAAAAAGAACCATTTTCGAGAAAAGAAAGACACGTGATATTTCCTATAATCTTCATACTGATCGCGGTCACTTTCATGGGTGGTTTCGTTGTGTTTGTTATTTTTAAATTATACAACGCATAAATCATTGGCACATTAACAGGACAATCATTTATATTACCGAATAACAGTAAACTAAGTATGTAGTTACCATAGAATTGTTGTACAAAACTGAGTGAATTTTCACCTTACTTCTCAAGTCCAGTTCACTTTCTAGTAACACGTTACGTACTTGGCTGACTGAGAGTGGTTTCCCGCAAATATCGTAACAGTAAAACACTGATAAAAGGCATAAGTCTAAACAACTAAGATCGTGAAAAAAATAAATCACCTTTCTGTGAAATTCCCGATAAGATGGTAAGTAGTATTTCGAGTTCTTTGAGTATATCTATAAATGGTTCACTACTAAACACAAAACCATAAAATTAACTACATTTGATATAGACAGCATGTAGAACAAAGTGTACAATACCATGTTCACTCATGATTTATATGAGTTTGTAACTAGATTCCATCAGTTTTTAAAGGATGTTCTTCAAATCAAGTCGTACACCTCTGATTACTGTTACTTCTGAATTTTCCCTGAATTCCTAGACTATCACTCAACAATACAAAACCAGATCTAGGGTCGTTCTAGGTTGAAACATTGATTACTAATTGTTTCATTGACTTAAATGAGCTTAACATGAGTAAGACTGGGTTGCTGCTCGACAGTATATTGTTAAATTAGTCTGATCACTTGATAAAGCACACACTGATTCGATATCATTTTTTATGGATGCGAACTATGCAGCATTGAATAATTCTATCAATCAATCAATCTAAAATAATATCACTTCTCTAATTCCCTTCCTTTGCTTTATATTTCACTGGTTAGTTGCATAAAATCAGATAGCGTTTATCGTTCTTCTTGACTTAACATTTAGCTTAGGCATACAACTGCATATATACAACACGATGAAATAAATTATTACATCAGAAGGAAGAATTGATTTTTAGATAAGAAACCTTTGTAATTTCCATTTTTTCTTCACGGACCGATCCATGAGTAACGCTTTTACGTCATTCAGCTTCCTACATCTTAAAGCAATAATAGAAATGACAATGAGGAAAAAATAATTTAATAATAATATAACAATAATAATAATAATTCTTGACTAAATAAAAGTCGGGATGAAACAGTTGAAAATAGAGTATCAGAAAACATTTTACCGGATTTTTCTTTTCAGCATAATTTGTTTTGTTCATTAAAAAAAAATAGAAATGAATACTTTTTTTGACACTTTGTTGATATACTTATTGGTGGATTTATATACAAAATGCAACACTGTTTGGTTTAAGAAATATGTATATATATGTATGGAATACATCATGAAGGCAGAATAATATAAGCTGTAAGATAGAATGAAGTAGATTAACTGAGTTCAATATATATACATAAAGAAAAAGAAAAAGATTTACATAAAATCTGTTTATGTTATTGAAACTCTTACAGTAGGCAAGATAAGCTGTAGTTTAGCTCATTGATATTTGATTTCTCAGTCTCTTTCTGTCCCTCTGTACATTTAAGTGAAGTATATATATATGTGTGTATGTGAGTGAGTGAATTAACTCAAACAAGAAGAGAAAAAGATTTTGAAAATTCGATTTTCAAATTATAAATACTGAAGAAACAATTTTCTACATCTCTATTATAAATGAACATTTATTTATCCACAATAGTTATCTACAGTGATCCTGGTAACCTAGTGATTGATGATGAGAAAAGTAGAAGGAAAAATTAAAGAAAAAAAATTAAATATTGATTTGTAAATTATTTATGCGCTAAGAGAAAAAAACAAGATTGTCTCACAGCAACTGAAAATACGAGACAGAGTGTTTTTACAACGGTAACAATTTGAAAAATATAATATCACAGGTTAAACATACCATTCTTTGGGACTGAGTTTCGATTTTCTTTTGTCTCCATTCTGTAGAGATATACGGTTATGTGTACTGGTACCGATAACAGTATTTGAAGTACTAGTCTCTTTGTTATTGTTATTAGGATCGTTATTACTTTTATCTGTCAGTATTACGTCAGGGGTGTTTTGAATCTCACCGCTAGTAAAGAAGGTTTTCTCATTCATTGAAGCAGATTCATTTATGAGCTTAACTAATGTTCCTCCGTCTAAGTCACAAAGCTCATGACTATCTTTTAATAAAGTTACCAATTTGACTGATTCAATCGGTAAACTTATCAGTGGTAATGATGTTTGTATGACAGTATTAGTTTCACGATTAGGGATATCAGTGACTTGAGGTGTTTCTGTGGTATATCCTGTGGTTTCTTCGACTCTGTAAGTTCCTTCGTCACGTCGCATATATCGATATATGATACATGTTAAAATTATCAGGAGACAAATACCACTGATTGAGACAGCAATAATGAGCACAATGTTGAAAGGGAATTTTTTATTTCTATCTATAAATGAATTGATGATGTTATTCGAGTTTTCGTGTAGCGTATTTCCCAATGATCGGTGATTTTCCATGTTAGATGTTTCGTACCATTTCTTTCCAGTTTCTTCATGTACTAATTTATCTGAAGGACTAAACCAACTAGTAATTAAGGGTCCCATTTCATCTACACCCGCAATTGATTGGTCCAAATTAGCAAAGTTTTGGATGGAATTCATATATGTTGTTTGAGATTGTTTGTTGTTGTTGCTTTGGTCAGCATTCCATCCTTGTTGGGGCTCATTTTTATCACTAAGGTAAAATAAAAAAGGATGTAATATAAATGAAGTTAAATTATCTGATTAATAAAAAAAACATAAAAGCTTCGTAATAGCATGTAGATATTAGAGAATTATACGGAAAGAATACCTTATCTCTTTACATGAATCTGGACTTCAAGGGAGACTTAGCCTACGATATCCTTAAGAGGGGAATTTCAGAATCTTTTAGAACATTCTTCGCAGCAACGCTAAGAGTAGTGTCCTCCAGTCGTCCATTGATCTGCAGAAACCTTAAGGCCAATATCTCGCATCTGACCACTTCTGTGTACATATATCGGTTCACCTGTTACTGTGAAACCAGGTACATCGGTTTTTCAACGAGTATCACATACAGAAGCCTTCAAGAACATTTTCACGCGTTGCCGCGAAAAGGTGGTAGTGGCTGTATAAGGAGTGCAATAATCAGACACCTTGTCAGTACTGGCCATTCCATCTCAACAAATGCCTCCTTCAAAGTAATCTACAAAGTGAAGAATAACCTATCAGATGCAATACTCTTTCGTCTCCTTTGTATTGCTGAAGCTTTAGGCATTCATTTGAAAAAACCAGAGTTATGTAAACAAAAGAAAATCATTCAACCATTTCTACTATCATGGCAACAATGGAGATGATTTCTACTTATTTCATGTTTGTGTGCTTGTTTTCCTAACTCCTCATTACTTTTGTATTTCCTTACAACTACTACATAATTTCACGTTTCCTTTCGTTCCTATGTACATCCTAATAATAGCCAATTCACTAAATTATTCATCTTATTACGTAACTACAATGCACTTATTCAACTTCTTTTATGTATTGACTAGGATTAAGAACAATTTTTTTCACAACTCGTCACCACTACCCTCTTACTGATCTTCACCCGCTAGTTACAATTTGATTACTGATCACACTTTTTTGAAATATTTTGATGACTTAAACAATAACCCTAACTAAGTTTTACTGTCTGACAAATCTAATGTACACACATGTACAAAAATTATATATAATTGTGATTGTACGGCTAACTGAATGAATTCGGCGAAAAAGAGACTTCGCTGAACTATATGTTTTGTTTTGTCTGGATGGGTATTGTTCATGAACTATCTCTTTTCACTCAGCAAATAAGCCAGAATTGACTATAACACTCAAAATTTTCAAATTTCAGTAAACTTTGATCAGAAATGATTTGCTCTTTATGGACATTTGTAAGCTACTTAAGATATCTGTCATTCTGTCTCACTTCTATGCTAAGAAAGGATATCATACTAGATAGTTGGAGGCAATCGGCAAGAAGCCTTGGACCTAGGTTTCGTGCTAGTTGGCACTCACAGTCAGCAAGGCGTATCTGCAACCTTGAAGAAACTCATGTCCCTTCTGAGATTCGAACCCACGTCATCCAGTGCTGCAGTCAGAGACGTTACCACTGAGCTATTCGGGTTCACGATTGACCTCCTGTAGAACTGTATACAGTATGTATGTACTGTATGTATCATACCACAATATGAGTAACTTCTTTTGAAACTGAAATCCCCATCTTCTGTCACAGAGGTCATAATCGTTCTCCTCTGAAGCATTTGGCTTAAATTGAAGTGAAATATAGTGTGTTAGGTCAGTTTCCAAATTTTCATAAGCAAAACTATAAGGCTGACGATAACTCCTATGGTTCATATTGAAAGTATAGTTAGCTGCAATCTATAAAACAGCATTCCTTAACTTTACGTAGGTGAAAACACAGCCGTGCATATTGGATAAGCATACCACTGTTCTCCTGCTCTGTTCTTAGAAAATGGCATAAAGTGTCAGTTTTAATAGACGATATTAACACAGCGTGTACTTCACGTTTACCTTCACTGTTATCCTTCACAAAAATGCATTCTTATTAAATATGTTCTTGTTAAATTATTAATGTTTTTCTCTCATCCGCATAAAGAAGCAATGATTTTAGCGTCTGTTATCTGATTCACTAAAAGATTACATATTTGTCTAGTTACAGTTTCATAAGTAATTTTTGATAAAATAATTATTCGCTTACGCAGCTGCCACAGTCATTAGATAGTTATTATTGAATGTAACGAATGGACGAATTATTCCATCTTCATCTGCAGGTTGACATTCTTCATAGTTAAATACCTGATTCGATGTTGAACAGTCACTTTTTGGTACGACAATAGGTTGTGGCTTATAGTCAGTCACTTTATCAAGCAAATCATTCTAAAATATGTAGAAGTTCAAATAAATACTTGGAATTAGTGACACTAATATAATAAAAGTAATGTTCAATTAGTAATATTGAAGTGTATTTCAGATAAAGTCTTTATTCACTGTTAGTGCTGAAAAAAGGAAGAGTTTTGGTACATCTTTTCGAATCTTATAAAATCATATTCTGCATCTCATGATCATCGAAAACGAGTTAATTTTGAAGTAATTTTCAGTCTAACCTTTTATAAAGTCAAAACAGCTTAATTGTAAAAGCAACTGTTTGAATTCATTGAATCAATAACCCTCCACTATATTGTATTAATGGACCATACTGTTTTGATGCGACAATCGTCTTCCAGATGATAGTATAATGAAGCTTTATAATTCCTCTGTCCAACAGTGGCGCATTATTCAGTTGGTTTTATTATTACGTGTTGCTCATTAAGATACATAAGTACATTCACCATTAACTTATGTAGTCACACAAAAGACATAATATAAGTCTGATTCTTTTTCAATTAACTCAAAAAGATAGCCTTTCCAGCAATAATTTTTCTTGAAAACTTGTTGAAGAAAATAAAGGGAAGAGATAAGCACAGCTAGAGAACAAAAACGGAGTGAGTACTGTGTACAATTACTAGTGGCGTGAAGAAATTGCAAAAACTAAGGCAACAGTATTCAGAATGCTCTTTGAATGACAAACATTTCACAAGTGTTTAAAGCATATTCTGTGTTTTCTGAAGTGTCTGAAAAACGAGACTGATTATTTAAGCAGTGTATTTATACCAGCCAAACAAATGTGTCTAGATTCTAATTCTGACACAGTGTTATGTGTTTAAATGGTTAGCAACACGTATGATATTGTCAGACCAAAAAAGGTACACATTAGACTGCGAAGAATGTGGCGAATTAGAAATCGGCAAGTGGTTAAGTAAAATATCTACAAGATCAAATAACCATAGTCAAAGTTGCATTCACTGTCTCGACTGCCATGTGAATTCTTAAAGCCTTTGGAAAGCATTTTACTTTTCATGAAGAGAGAGGCTTCTGTCGAAATAAAGATACCTAATTTAATTTCATCACAATAAGGTAACTGCTGTGCATCGGTGGCACAGCGGTAGAATGCTCACCAATCACTCATGTGGTCTGGGGTTCGATCCCCGACCGACGAACTCCTTTACCTCGCTAAGTCAGTAATAAGACTGGTAAAAGGGAAGGTTGGGCATGAGGCTAGCAACCCCATCCCGTAAAAAGGAAAACCACTGCCACCTAAACTTCAAGCCTCTAGCTTGAAGCCTTATGTTCCACTGGGAAAGTAAAGGAATAAAAAAGGTAACTGTTAACATTTTGCTTCGACGTGTTCTAAATAACGTTTAAGGATAAATACCCGAAAACACTGTTATCTTCACTAACACTGATAGTGTCTATTTATCTAACTGCTACTGTTTTTTTACCTGTATTCTTTCCACCAACCACCTTGCCATTTTATCTCAAATATGGATTATTCATGCTATAGAAGTGTAATTTACAGAGTGATAGCTGTTAGTTCTGTAGACCAGTGAAGTTAAGTGAACTTATCCTTGAGTGTTTTATTATTTATGACTCACATATTTTTTTTTAATGAATGCCTAATATCATTTGATGAATACATTTCACTTATTTACTTGTTAGGTCTGTTGAAACTGGATTTGAATGTAAACATTTCACGAAGCGAAATTGCTAGGCAGGTATTAAGATTTTTAAAAAAAACAGTGAAATGCTTTTATCTATTAAAGATGAACTGAATTATGGCAATCAAACATCACTGCTCATTACTGACTATACTGAAGACATCGTTCGTGATGCTTTTATGAAAATTCATGACCGTGCGCACCTCAAAGTCCAGGTAAAAACTCATACCCACCGATGATATCGGTTAGTAGTGCTGCTAAACAGAAGACGGAAAAGCCTAAAATCACTGATCATTTTATTCAGATAAATTGACTGGGAGAACATATTTTCCCTTCGTAAGCTCTCAATGTTAAAATGAACAAGTGTTGGGTATAGATGTACGTCGAAATGTTGCAAACAACGACAAAATACCCCTTCAGTATTCTTTGCTTTTCGATAATTACTAATTTTAGATTATTAGTGGTTACTTTGTGAAATGATGAGGTGGGTTTTTTGGTAGTTATCTGAGCTTGGTAGTCGATGTACAATGTCTTCATTGTCTTAATTCCACTTTGCAATTAACACTAAATATGTTGTTTCGAAAGGTGATGAAAGCTTAGTAATTAAACTATACACAGCTTAGAGGACAAAACACTCCGAAAAATGTGAACTTTGAAAGTTAAATTAACAATCATGGCAACCTTGGAAAATGGTCCACTGAAACTGATCATCGACAAATTCTCTCTGCACAGAAGGTACGTTGATGACACTTTCATCATTTCTGATAACAAATGTGACCTAAATAATGTCCTCCAGGATTTTAATAGATGCCACCCAGTCATCATATTTACGGTGGAGGCAGAAACCGGAGAGACAATCTCATTTCTGGACGTCCGACTAACAAAGAAGACTGATGGGACCCTAAAGAGATCAGTATATCGGAAGCCTACGTGGAACGACCAGCTGACAAACCTTTACAGTTAGGTACCCATCGATCGTAAGCGGAACCTGATAATATCTCTTGCGACTAGAACCCGTAGAATATGCAGTCCCGAATCAGTAGAAGAAGAGATCACTGTTTTGAGGAAGACACTACTTGAGAATGGCTATCCACCACGCTTTGTAGATAAACACATAAAGCTAAAAAACAACAAACAACAACCAATCACTGTGCCAAAAAAGATGCCATACGTGAATTTGGTGTTCAAATGCGACATTCTGGCCGACATACCGAAGAGAAGAATATCTAGCGCCCTGAAAAGAACATTCTCTGCTGCTACATTACGACTGGTATTCTCAAGCTGCCCATTGTTTTTCAACAACTTCAGAGATAAACTGCCGCATCTAACTACTTCTGTGTGCATCTACCAATTTACTTGCTCATGTGCACTGGAAAGAGGAAGGTTGGCATGAGGCTAGCAACCCCATCCTGTAAAATAAACACTGCTACAGAAACTTCAAGCCAACTAGCTTGAAGCCCTATGTTCCACTGGGGAACGTGAAGGAAAAAAAATGGAGCGAGATATATAGGTCGTTCAATGCGTATTTTATCTAGAAGAGTCAGGGAACATTATCCCGCTTGGCTACATAAAGGTGACAGTGGATTGACAAGGAGTGTTATAATTGAACATATATTCAACACTGGTCACTCAATATGCCAAGAAAATTCATTCAAAGTCATCTATAAAGTCAAAAGAAGACTCCCAAAAACGGTAAGCTTCCCTATACTTTGCATTGCCGAGGACTTAGCGATCTGGATAGAAAGCCATGATTTATGCACACAGAAGAAACTTCTCCACCCGCACTTCTACCTTGAGTATAATTCCCAGTTCTTCTACTTTGTCAGTAGTGTTTTTTTTTTTGTTTTTTAATTTTTCTATGACATCTTGGTAACATCTTCTTCTTAACCAACCCTTAATTTACTCTTTCTACCTATTACAAAATTTATTCTGGGCACATGTCTCCATTAACATCCTATTTCATATTATGCAACCCTTGTCAATACTTACTAATCTTCAACCACCCCACCCCCGGTAGTTACAATTTTGATTATTCATCACATTTTAGAAACATTTTCATGACGTAAACAATAACCCTAACTAACTTTTATTTCTGTTTGACAATCTTAATGTACATACACACACAAAATAATTATATATAAATGCGATTGAACAGCTAAGTGAATGAATTTCCCGAAAAGAGACTCTTCGGCTGAACGTTGTTGTTGTCCTTATATTCATGTCTAAGTGGGTATTTTCCATGAATTAAAATTTAACAATCCTCTCTAAAACGAAACAAAAATTTCAGCTAAGGAATTTCTTAATGCAACTATTTTATTTTCATAGCAGCACAACTGGACTTATGCATGAATTATAATAGATAATAGTAAGTATATATATATATATTAAGATGTGACAGTGAGTGGAATTACTGAAGTGCAAAAATGTGGTTTTAGGTGGTTCTCAATCACAAACTCACTATAATTATAAATTATTGGTATTAGATGGTTGGAGGCCATCGGCAGGAAGCCTTGGACCTAGGTTTCGTGCTAGTTGGCATTTATCAGCAAGGCGTATCTGCAACCTTGAAGGAACCTTGAAGCACGAAACCTAGGTCCAAGGCTTCCTGCCGATTGCCTCCAACCATCTAATACCAATAATTCACAGTGCACCGTAATGGCGAGCCACCTATCATGGTGGCCACATTGCAAACATGACTGGTAGAATTCAGTCTGCACCGAAGATAGGACTAGACGCATTACACTAGTTACTGACCAGTGTGCAATCAAAAATAATTATAAATTAGTGAATCACATGATAAAACTAAGATCTATGTAACGAAAGAAACTGCTGAAAATTGTTTTTTTTAAATTACTTTGGTCTTCATTTTATCATATCGTTTAACGAAAACTCCATCTATTAGTTATTCTAGGTTGTTTTATTTTCTCTAATTTTCCTTAATGTCATCGGATTTTTATTGGTTTATATGTGATTGACGATAGTTAACTCATCTTACTTTCCCATCTAATAACATCTGACCTGATAATTTCACATTTTTCACCTCCGAATGCATTTAATCTTAATATAGAAATTAGCCCTGTCATCTATTTACCCATATCTACTCAACTTTATGTTGACCTTTCTTTATTGATGCATATTTTTAGTGAGTAATGACCTAAATCAATGCTGTTGTACTTCAATACTTCTCCTCACTGTTAAATTTTAACAAACAACAAACGTCCTTGTTATTCTGAATGTAAATTTCGCCACAAATATATCAGTTAGGTAATCACGCAAAACCAAGGATCACTAGACAGCTGTGTCGTTCTAGTCTGGGAGTCTTTAACCATGCCCCCCCCTAACAGTAGGTTTCAAAGTTACGGCGGTTAGTGACGCTATCTACACTGAAATTATTCCAAAACCCTACAAAACCAAAAATCTGAATACGTATTATTGTCTACTGTATTCTACATGTAAATACGACTGCACAGCTATAAAAACGAAATTTTGAAAGTATTTAATCAAATGGTTTTAAAATGCATATGTAGTTCTAGCTCACTGACTGAAGTAAATGAAAACAAATGTTTTTCTTGACTTTACTTGGCAGGTAACTAAGCTAAACATTAGAATCTAGATGACTACATTTATAACGACTCAAACTTAAAATAATATTTTACGATTTAAGTGTCCCATATGACTTAAAAGGCATTTTATGGTATTTTACATCATTATATGTGTGCGCCTGTGTAAGATATCTCTGGGTAACATAAAGCGTTTTATGGATAAATAGGAGAATTATTAGTCAATACGTCTTCAATATTTGTTAACAATATGTGTCATGACAAATACTCGCAATTTGGTTTGCCAGTGTTTCAATAGTTTCGCTAACATAAATTTTTCAGAGCCTTTATCAGTAGGTAAAGCTGGAGACGAAATCAAAAGTTAAATTGGTGGATGGTGACTAGCAGTGGAATCCAGAATGCGCATTTCGTCCTATTCCGGACTCGTCAACTGGATGCACCTGCATTTCCCAGTGAGTGATGATGTTCCCACTGAGGCTCGAAACCCAGTTCCCCGCCAAAGCTTTATCCACTAAACCACTTGGGCTACGAGTGCCACCTCTCGTGCAACAGGTCATATTGATTATTTAAGTGAATTTTAGATTTTCTCGTCGACTGATTGGACTGAAGTGCTCGGTCTCAGGTTAGCATGTCAGTTTTTTGTGCAGATGCTTTGACGATGTCTGGACATGTAATTAGAATTTAACTGGTGGATGGTGACTAGCAGTGGAATCCAGGATGCGCATCATCACTCACTGGGGAATGCAGGTACATCCAGATGATGAGTCCCAAATAGGACGAAATGCTCATTCTGGATTCCAATGCTAGTTACCATCCACCAATTAACTTCTAATTAAATTCCCAAAGCATCTGCACAAGAAGCCGAAATGTCAACCTGAGATCGAGCACTTAGGTCCAATCAGTCGACGGGAAAACCTAAAATTCGATTAAATAAAGAAATCAAAAGTTCTTCTAAATAAATTCAGTAACTTGACAACACTGAAAATATAAGATAATTCATACGTAGCATAAGCAGCAGTTATGGGGAAAAAACTTACCGCTGAGAGTTGCATATCGTTTGCCTCTTTATGATTTGTAGCTCCAGGTTTGGACCTATTAACAAAAGAGTAATAAGTAGTCAGTCGTCCCCAGGGAACATTAGAAAAACTTTCATGAGTAAAAAAGACTACTCTCCAGTAGATATCTAGTAAAGCATTATTTTCTTATCTCAAAAAAAGCTATTGAAATTATGGATTCTTTAAAGAATAGACGGTGACATCCTATGAATAACTCTAGATTAGTATCCGTGGTCTTCTATACATTAGGTATAAAGAAATATCTATATCATCGGGTAATCACAAATGGGAACTTAATTTTTGTAATGCTATATCTGAAAAGCCTAAACTTCCTGGAATATGAAGTCGTTACAAAGCTGTCTTACCTTTCATAGTGAGTTTTCAGATTCTTGATGTTCGATTTAAAATTCGGGTTGAATTCTATATTTTTTCGAGATTTTAAATATATTCCAGGTACCATATTCCCAACTAGCACATCAATTAAATCAATGCCGTTCAAGTTTAAACCTGGAATTTTGAAAATATAAACAGATTAAGTTTGCAATCATCAGAATTTCACCACACATCAACCAGTACGACAGAGGTGTTAAGTTGAACCGTTTCTTTTAGTTAGTGATACTGTTTTGGGGAATGCCCTTTTAATTTATCTTTTGGTAAACTTAATATTGCTGAATACCACCTAATTAATGTTCAAACTTTCTTTCTGCTTTGATAAATAAGTTGTAGAGAGAGATTGTAAGATGAATACACTTCATCTATCTTTAACCACTTATAGTGTTATGCAACCTCTTCTTATGAACTGCTTATAGACTGAGAAAACCCATGCTATGCATTCAAGTGATAGACACTACAAGCTTTTAAATTTGCGGGAAAGTGATTCTTGACATTTTGTATTTTAGTGAAGCTTTTCCTATCCTGATCTCCAATACACTTTTCAATGCAAATCTAAAAGCTAAAAAATCAAGCGAGAAAAAATTCGACGTAAGAATCCTATTACGCGTAAGTTGATTGCTGACATTTAAGTACCACATATGTTTCAAATATAAAAGTGTTTTTCAGATACAGTTTAAAATAAAATAGCATATATATATATATCACTGTATCATATAGCACTAAGTTTTGCGAATGATATGTAAGATACTTTTGCACAAATACAATTTTCTTTTATGTATTTTATAAGAGATCCAATAACTTCTGTACCATTCAATGATGTAGACACTGAAACTGACTCCATCCTATAAATCTTCATATTTTGTCATGGTAGTTTGTCATTTTGTTTTAAATAATGAACAATGAGTTACAGTCGTTTCTTATTTATTATGCAAAATACTTTAGTACACTAAGTTAGTATGTCTTTTTAAGTAATATAATTAGTGTGCATTATTATTCTGGTTTAGAATGACAAGAAAAGTCAATACAATGAGATAAAGTCTTTCAACTAAAACGACCCATTCTTCCTTGAGAGTAAGTGGACTAATGAAGTTATCATTTGAAACGTTTAGTGATATACTGAAAAGAGACAATTAGCCTTCATACTTAGTTAACTGAAGAGCGATGTTTTTAAAATGTTACATTTCAAATACTTGTAAGGATTAATTATGATTAGTTGCTTATTCTGTAAAGTAAACTAACCAGTAAGAAAGGCTTCAAATCCTTTTCTTGTTACAAACTTTTCGCTCATATTTTGAAATGGTTGTGGTTTCGAATTTGGTGATTTGCCAATATATATCCTTTTCAACGAATTGAAGTGTTTATTATTTTTATCTTAAAAATAAAAAAGAATATATACACAGATATATATATATATATATATAAAGATAACATAAAAATATTTCATAACTATCTTTTATCGTTTCAATGCGATGTTAAGTCTGTTAATCCACTTATTTACTGTGGTGATTAATCAGGCTACCCTAGGCTCCTTTCTGGAGAACGGTTGTTCAGAGTACAAAGGTAAACAGTATTGGTCTGACAATTTAGAATGGATAAATGGCAATGAAACTTTAGATAATCAATTACGTAATTCAATTTTAGATTTTCCCGTCGATTGATTGGACACTGGGTTCGAGCCTCGGTGGGAACATCATCACTAGCTGCGGAATGCGGGTACATCCAACTAACGAGTCCCAAATAGGACGAAATGCGAATCCTGGATTCCACTGCTAGTCACCATCCACCAATTAACTTTAGATACTCAAGCTTAAAAAAATAAATGTTAGCACTGAAATTTGTCTTTATTGAATATGAAAGCCGCACAGCAACATCCGGATAATTACTTCTTGAAAACAGATGGTTTTGAATATGATCATGTCACATGCTGCTTTATTTTATTGTTTTTTAGTTGGACAGACTCTGTTTTGAAATTATTTCATGCAACTAAACGCTAGTTTCTAACAATGTTGGCAGAAATAAAATTGTTTCAATATGCCATTTAGGCATCTCATAAAATAGCGTAATAAAATTTATCTTCTGAGGAATCAACGCATGCAAATTGATTACTAACTTGGGGTTTGTAGAATTCTGAACTCCACTCTTTTCCTTAAATTTATGAACCTTTCAGCTTCAAATTTCATATTTAATAAGAACTCTGTTTTGAATTACTAAAGATAATGTGTACAACCATCCAGCCAGATATTTAATTGTAGTTATGCTCAACCATTTCCAGATATTTAGGATAATATTACTTGGTGAAAATTAGTTCAGGGAAAGCAATTATGGTCCATAATGTAGCGTGCAAAGAGTTATATTCAGAAATGTTGAAAAGCACAGAACGTATTTTCTAGAAGTTTTAATTTATGTGAGTACTCTTACTACGAGAAGTTTCTCTATTTCTGGTTAATTTCTAGTAGGCATTACTTCCTTGCAACAACTAAACCTTTGGATAGAGCTTGGAAAAGATGGCGTTTATCTAAAAAATATGGTATGCATGCGTAACGAATTTCGGCCATTCTGATTACACGTCTACTTGTTAGTTCACAAAATGAAATGTCAAATAAAATGGACAAATAATAAAGTGGTTTAAGTGGTCATGTCGCACGCTCTATGTTGTGTTTGCGGAATGAATATATATATGTGGATTGGGAGAATATGCTTTGTCTGTTGCAGGACAATATTATTGATGTGAATCATGAGACAGATTTCAAAACAACTTTCAAAATTAAATACAGGAATCAGCTGGGGTACTAAACTGTGTTGAGGCGGCAGGCTTTCATAAAATTGGTCCGCACCCTACTTGTGTGTGCAAAAACAATTTTTTCGTCAGGCTTAACCTACTATGGTAATACATATCTCATTATATTACTATGAGTAATCTCACAATGACCTTGTCTGTGTTTTTAACCTTTCATTTTTTTCGTTTTTATATAGATCGGAGTGATAAGTAGATATGTGATGAGATTGTTTGAAATGTATTGCGTAAATACATAGCATGTCTTAAAAAAGCACTGGAAGCGTTTCGAAGGTTTCACTAGGGTCTTTGAGTATATTTCACGTAAGAATCTAAAAGTGAAACGCTTTTTTCTGAACACAATATTGCTATATGGTAACTTCTACTGGAGTACCATGGTTGACGTAACTTTACAAAAACATTTAACAGAGATTTATTAATGTTAAGTTAATCTCATCAAAGATTTTAAACCATAAAGCATGTATAAGGATAAGCTATTACAAGGTTCTTTAGCTGTAAATATGTTTAGAAATAGTTTTTTTTTAAATAATTCACAAATCACCTTCTGCCGTTTTACTGATTTCATTCTGAAAATCTATCCTCAATATTCCTTTGGCTTCGTGTCGTATAAATTGCACAACATGGAAGTGACCGTCGTTCAGATTCACATTTTGCTGAAAAAGTGTTTGTGTTCCTCCTCCCATATTATACTGAACAGCCAAGTTTTGTTGATTCTTGTAAAAAAGAAATTCAAATACGATAGTACTGTGGTTAGTTAAACTACCATTAAAGGTAAAATTAAGTTAACGTAATATGGTCAGCGCAGTTCTCCTGCCTTGTGCCCCTTAAACTAATTAGGACAACAGCAGAAATAACATAAATAAACGCAAAATACTTAAAACAGCAAGTATGCAAAAAGAAACAAGCACTGCATTTGGTAGAGCTGATTGTAAAAATCTGCTCTGCACATTTGATATACTACTTTCTAGTTCTTATAACTTTTTAACAAAAGCACCGTTTTGTTAATCGATCTCCTCTGATAGAAAAACTGTTACTACTGTTACTCTTCGGAGACGCTATAATTCTTTGATGCATTTCTCTAGGTGCTGTATGCCACAGTGTTGTATTTTCACAAATATTTTCGCTTATCATTGTGTCATTCTTAGTTGTAAGACACTGATTCAACGGGCAGATATTCAGCAGTCTGCCTTTTTTTTTCTACCCCACCATATTACCCTTTGAGTTCTATGCTTCACTTAGAGTGCCGGGAATGAACAGTAATATAATATCATTCACAACTATTTACATAAACGGGGTAAATTTCGTTTGTGTGTAAAGAAAACCACCAATTAGTTGTCTGTGGATTGTTTATAGAATAACTTGAAAACCAAAATTTATGTGCTTCAGGTAGAAACTGTTATTGTTCTGGAATAAACTGTTAAGGATCAAAATGCTTTTTAAGATTCCGTTAACAAGAGTGGTAGAAGTGCACATCAGTTTAGGCCGAATGAAATTCAACTGTTTTTCTCCTGAATCGGTAAATGTCTAGTCAAAGATGATTTTCATTCTTTAGCTTATTTCCAGCCTTTGATAAAAGCTGTCATAGCCTTCATAATAACCATATTACTGGTTTTGGTTAAGGGTTCAGGCATTTTTAAATAAACTGGTTAATATTTGAAGCTTGCTGAGGCGAATGCAATGATTTTCTTCTTGAAGAAAATTTTCTTCGTTGCAACCGTCTTTTTAATAATACATGTTTCTTTGAAACAAGGGGTTATATTCAGTTAGAATCAATAATCATACGAATAGTACCTAACATTACTGTTTCCCCGAAGGGTGGAAACTTACGTTTACTGAGGAATTTTGCATAAGATGTAACGAGCAAAGTCGTCCTCGAGATGGCTATTCATGCAAAACTGACATCATTAACTTTTTCCATATAACCATATTGTGGAAAGACACTCAGATTACCTTGCGATAAAAGATCGGTTCATTTTAGCATTTTTGCTACGAAAACGGGTTTTTAAAGCATTTTCGGTTACGCCATCACAATTCTTAGGTAAAACTGTAGTTATTGTCACAAGTTTACTAATGGAATAATTAACAGCATGAAGCCTTTATTTTTTGATGGGACAGTTTCTATGATATAACATACACATGACACACAGTATTAATGCAGTATTTAATATATAGATAATGCCGTACTGCTCTATATTATTTCAAGTTGACTATTATGCTTTGAAATTATACTCTGCCACACTTTCCACTTTCTTTTCTTACATCATGAAATATATTCTGACACTTCCACTTACCTTATTATGTAGTAGTGTTACTTGTATGTAGTCTGGAGATTGTCCTTGACCCTGAATATGAATCAGCGTCATTGTACCGGGATGAGTGATTTCTATTCCAAATGCTAATCGATCCAGTGTTGTGTTCTGAGGGGAATTCAACTCAATAACAGCATGTCTCTCCGGAAATTTTGATACATGAATGGACGGTCCAACTTAATTAAAATTTAGGAAATAAAACTCAGTGACTATACAGTGAAATTTCATGGGAAATGAGAGTCTGATTGTATCAGATGGTAAACAACTTTATTATAAATTAAAGTGGAATACGATTCACTTGCCTAAATGAAAAAGCTGGGTGGATTAAATTTTGTTTTGTAAAAAGGAAGACAGTTTTATAGAGCCAGAAAGCTTTAACTATTACTTCTGTCTAATGGAAACGTATTCTCTCATTAAAACATATCAATGCACATACAGTACTTGTATTTCTTGATATTTTCGATACGTTTCTGAGTTTGTTTCTTTAAGAGTGATCAGGATCAACTGGTGTTTTCATCCTAGATGGGGTAGTGTTTTGATTTTTTGAAAATACTATCCTCAAATGTGCCTTTGATTGCTTTTGTTGTGCCAAGGTCTCTGTCGCCATGTAAGGTCCTGGTACAGACGCTTTGATAATGCTTTTTGGTTGACATGATTTCTATATGCTGGTGATTAGCAATGGAGTCCAGAACAAAGTGTCTGTTGATTCTACTACTTCTATATGACTGTCACTAACATTTTCAGTAAGTGTACTTTCTTATTAATCATAGGAAAAAAATTTTATATCCGTAAATTTACAGTTCTGTTTGGTAAGTTTGGTTCTAGATAGTATCTTTGTATCTTTGCTATCACTACATAACGTACTGACCTGGTGATTATTGCATGACTGCCATCAAAACTGTACTTGCCTAAAAAAGTAGGCTTGGAATCACCTAACGTATAATTTTTGGACAAAGAGAGCTATGATGTATAGCAGGAATGGTAAGTGATAGTGAATTATAATTTTGTTTCCCAATCATCACTTGGTGATATAATCCACAAACGTGAAACAAACTCTTAGACACAAAGTGTAGCATTTTGACAGTCTGACTTCTCTGAATATAAATATGCGTGATGTTTAAGCTAAATTAAATATTAACTTACAATTTTCACAGAACCTTCCAGTGAAGCCAGTCAGACTGCAATCACAAGAGGTAGAATTCCATTGTTGTGAACAGATACCGTTAAAATGACATGAATTCTCTGAGCATTGATTAACATCTGAAAATTTATTATTTGAATAACGACAGCCTATTTGTACATTGTGCCATTTTACATTTTGTGTATCACTTGAATGAAGATAGTTTAATTGGTACTTTGAGACAACTGTGTGATTTATAAGTTTTGGTGGAGTTGTTGGGTCATCATCGATAGAATGATTCAATGAGAATGATGCCAAACAACCTTGGAACCTTGGAGCTGACTGCAGATAATCACCGAGGACAGGATAAACTGATTTTCTGAAAACAATTCATTACAATATATACAAAATAACAATTAATTAATACTAGGTGTATCTATTAATTTGTATGGTGAATATTTAAGTATAGGAAATCAATCTAAACGAATTTACTCTCAGCAGCTGTACAATGGAGTAGGGAAGATACTTCCTTCTTCAACTTATTTGCTCAATGAAGTAGTCATCAGTTTCAAGATGAATGTAAAGACAGGATTAGAAATGTTAGATTTGTTTCTTAGCTAAATGAAGCAGTCTGCTACACAACAAATAATTTCTGAATATAAGTCAGTTTTGAAAATAAGAGTTGGACGAAAACGCTTCGTCAAAGCTGTGTCGTACAGGCGCCGCTTACCGATTTAGTCTGGAAAGTTAATCACTCTAAACCACATTTAAAACACTAATGATAACCCCTGTATGAAAATGTGGTGTGAGTGCTAAAACGCTTTTCCTAAGTAGGACAGTGATTAGCTGATTCAAAGGAGTTATAGTTTAAGAGAAATGCATCACTGACATGTTTATATGCTTTCCACCAAAATGGTTATCAACGTAAACCATTTGATTTTTGTAGGAGTAAAAAGTATTGCCAATCAAATGACAGTTCTCTAAACGGTGGTAAGTGTTGATTAGCATTTAGTCGTGTTGCCCATAAAAAAAGTAAAAGCCTAGAGCAGTCAATTAAATAAAGCTATTTAGTAGGTCATATTCACGCTAAAATGTCCTGGCTTCTGCCCATTTTTTTCTACTCTGTGTGGTTTAAATTTGTTTGACCTTAAGATCAACTGGACAAATTAAATGAATTTTGACTATATTTTTTTAAAAGCTTATTCGTGTATAAGATTTATTTTGAGTTTATCTCTGTGCTTCAGGGGAAAAAATATTTGCCATTTATTTATTTCTAAATGAATTAATTTCATCGGACTTACCGTTCAGACAGTCCTCCAATGTTTATTGATTTTAGAGAAAAATAGCTCGATTTATTCAATTCAATATGTGTTGACTGATTGTTAATCTGAATAATTATTGCTTGCATCAATGGCTTTTTAATGACCTGCAATTAAATGGAGTATTCTATTCATTTAATTCATTTGAATTATTAAAAATTATTTAAAGTTATGATGTAACATATGAGGTATAACAGATAATAAACCACTTCAAAAGATAGTGGAAAAATACTGTTAACAATAATAATTATTATTGCTATGGGATTCAGTGATGAGGCATAATAGAAAACATTTTGTTAAATTATTCATTTATTCAGAAGTTGGTTTTGCACAGATACGAATTCATGGTAGATCTCGTCTCGTATCGACATAAGCTACAGAACCACTGAAAATCAGAAACCAACAGACAGCTGTTACGATACAGTTTAGGACTCTCCATAGGTGCCCAGCAGTCAAGCTACCACAAATTCAGCCCAGGACTATCTGACCACCCGTAGGTCGCTTTTACCAACCGGCCACCAGGTTCAGTGCAATGATCAAGGAATTCTATTTTTTTCAAGTGAGAGTATGGCCTCAGTGTAATCTAGTCGATTCAGTGGGCGTCTCCCCTTCCACTTGCCATCATTGACACTACTTACGAATATGTCTCATTAGAAATTTAGAAGACTCTCCCAAATGTCCAGCCCAACACCTGAACATTAACCTCCTGCTTATTTGTGATTTACTACACGGAGACTTTATGAACTTCTAGTCACAGATAGGCTCAAACAAGATGGCTGTGAATTCAGATAATCACCGATATTGTAAGACAGTGGCGTATAGTCACTAAATGGTAGAAACTGAAATCGCCAGTTTATAACATTCTTCCCATTGGCTGATTTGTAAAAGTGATCGTTATGTACCTCTGAAGAGTTCTGAACTGAGTTAGAACAGCTGTCCATTACCTTCTGTAGTTAAGTGATTTTCCGAGTGGTCATCAATAAAATTATTTCCAGAATAAAATATGTGAGCACATAGAATTATCTTTGTGATCAGAGGTAATAATTAATAAAGTACAATACAAATAAACCAATCTTCTTCTGCCTGTTATTTCTATAAAGGACTTCAGTTCTTGTTCCTGACTATTCCATTCTCATCTGTCCTATAATTCTATGTCATTACTGAGAGACTTTATTTGAAACGAGGCCACAGAATATATGTCAATAAGGATGATGATGTGGAAACACGTGAAATACCACATGTGCATTGATAGTAATTGTGGAAGTCAGTTACTGCGTTAACATCTTTAAAGCATCTCCAAGCTAAACTCATGGAAATAAATCAAACAATACTGCTTTCCTCAGGTTCTCACTTGTGTCTTGCCAGTGCATTGCAAAATGCGAACAGTCCAACATATGTGGCCTACTTCCGCTCTACACCTTTTTATCTCTTTTATTTTTTATCTTTTTATTTATCTGATTACTGCAGATTTTGGTAGAAAACGATTTTGGAAAACGCTACTGTATAAAAAAGGTTTTGAAAAACAAATAAAAACGGAAATACGAACTAGCATGACATAATCTATTCCATCTTAAATTTGAAGTCAGTTCTTCCAAATGAGTCAGAAACTTGGCCCCCGCGTCACGAAAAGTATTTCCAACAGACTTATCAACAGTTGCCTTCGCTCCATACTGAAGAGCAAATGGCCAGAAAGAATTGGCAACAAGAAACTATTGGAACAAACTAACCAAGAGACTATCGTCCAAAAAATGTGTAGGAGACAATGGAGATGGATTGGGAACAAGGCGTGAAGACCGGCAAATGACATCTCACGCAAGATAATAGCTCGAGTGGGACCCTAATGGAAAACGACCAATGTGTCGCCTGCGAGTGGCATGGAGAAGATCGTGCTAGGAGGAGATGGGAAATTATGGGCATTCGTGGGCTTGGTGAAAGAGGATAGCAGAAAATAGAACAAAGTAATGACGTGATATTGAAGCCCTATGTTCCACTCGAAACCCGAGGGAACAATAACAATAAATAAATTTGAATGAATTAAACATACGAATTTCGTCACTTACTTTGATGTGATACCATTCAATATCAACCAATGGCTTCATCACACCAATATTATGTTTTTCAAGCTGACTATGATCTATCTGTATCAGCTGAAATCCACTGTCTGCCAATTCCAGAATGAAATGCTGATTGAAGTCATCATGAAGAAAAAGAATTGCCCCACGTTTCTGGTGGAATAATGTAAAAAAGTGCCATTAGAGAATTATTTTAATCTACAGAAGTGCATAGAAGTAGCTATAGTAAAAACAAAAGAACTGACTTACTACCTGCTTGTTAGTTAACGATAACATAAACGAAGGCACACAATAAGATATATATGGGATCATCGAAAATAAGACTAACTGCCAATATAAATACAAGTATCAAATATTATACCCGGTAAATTCTTAAGTAATTCACAAAAACTACCCATCCAGACATAGAAATACGAGCATACAGTTCAGAGAAGAGTCTCCTTTCAGCAAATTCATTCAGTTAACCCTACAATTGCAGTTATATATATGTATATATACAGTTAACCTTGCCCAGTTTACTAGCTTGCTAGTTTTCTAGCCGGTCCCAAGTCTGGTATAAGAGGAAGGGTTACATGGGGCTAACCATCCTATCCCAATAAAACCAATCAAACTGCTACAAAAACTTCAGCGCAGAAGAAAAATATTAAAAACATAAAAATAAAGAAACCAAAATTATTTTTTGCTGGAATAGGAGAGTCGAAATGACACAGCAGGCTGGTGAAAGCCTTCTGGAAGCCAATCAACCAATGTGTCTTCTCTCAATGAAAGCAAGAATAAGAATGGGAGAGTGGAATGTCCGTACAGTGTACGAAGCTAGCTGAGAAGGCTGCCGAGGTAGCCAAAGAAATGCGAAGATATGGCCTAGAATTGCTGGGTTTGGAAGAAAAGAAAGTTGCCTACCGATTGGAAGAAATTCTACCTTGTCAAGCTGCCAAAGAAGGGCGACTTAGGCCTCTGCAAGAACTGAGTGGCATGAGATAATGTTCTTCTTCACGCCAAGTAAAATACTAAATTGCACTGGATACAGAACTCCGCCCCGGCGTAACAAGCTAGATTCAGGAAATGTAAATCATGTGCTGATCAAATTGCAACTCTACACATCGTCATCGAACAAAGCATAGAATGGAAGCCACACTTATACCTTAACTTCATCGACTTCGAAGAGGCCTTCGACTGCGTTGACCGAGAAGTAATTCGGAAACTACTTCAACACATGTGGAATTCAGTACATCAAATCTTTATCAACCCCCATTCAGCAGCTTTATGCCAACTGCACGTGTCAGGTGATCCACGACGGAGAACTCAGCGAAGCCTCTAAAGTGAATACAGGAGTGAGACAAGGCTGCCTAACTACTATCACCGATGATATTCTTAACTGTGGTGGACTGGATTACTCGTCAGACTGTGTGCTGGTAGCGAGGAGACAGGAATACGCTGGAACACCAACAATAAGACTCTATAAGATCTGGATTTCGTATGTGGATGATTTATGTTTAATGTCACACAAACTTGAAGAACTACACGCTGAAACCAACAAAGTGGCTGAAGAAGCAGGCAGCGAAGACAGGACTTCAGGTGAACATAGAGAAGACAGAGGTGATAAATATTACCAACGAATAGCAACAACAACCAGCACCAATCACCATCAGAGGGAGAGATGTGACAGAGGTTACTTCCTTCACTTATCTAGGAAGCATTGTTTCAACTACAGGCAGAACGGATGAGGATGTGAAAGGCAGGATCACAAAGACAGTCATTCATCTCTTTGAAATCGTCTAGGAAATCTTCTTCACTCAGCACAAAGAACAAGATATGGATTTTCAACACAAATGTGAAGTCAGTTCTTTTATGTGTGTCAGAAACTTGGGCAGGTTGTCACAAAAAGCATTTCCAACAGGTCACAGACTTATCAACAGCTGCCTTCGCTGGCTCCATATTGAAGACCAAATGACCAGAAAGAATTATTAGCTGAAAAATATGGGAAAGAACCAGTCAAGAACCTTTCGTTCAACAATTACGCGGGAGATGATGGAGATGGATTAGACATACTCTGAGGAGACCATCGAATGACATCTCTTGCCAGGACATTGCTCTAGTGCAACCAGAAAGAGGAACTATGTGTTGGACGACCGAGGGTGACATGCAGGAGATCATGCGAGGAGGATATGATAGAGTATGGGCGATCTTCGGCGCAGCTATAGAGGACAGTAGAAAATATAACAAAGTGGAGATGTGTTGTTGAAGCCCTATGTTCCACTCGGAACCCAAGGGAATAATAAAAGCAAAAATAAAACACATACAATTATTTTTGTATTTGTGTGTACATTATGTTTGTCAAACGGGAATAAAATAAGTTCTAAAGTATGTTGTTGACACTCTTGAACTATTTAACATCTCAAAATATTAATAGGCGACACACTGGATGTTTCTATATTTTTGAAACACAGTCTTTAGAATATATTTTGAATGTGGTTTTGCACAACCGAGATTTGTAAAACAAACGTAATTAGATTTAAAATGTTTGCTAATAGATTAACAAGACCGCAGTTATTTATCACTTAAAATTAATGAAAAAACAACCTTTTTAAAATCTACCTTTCTTCTAATCACTTTGTTTAATATAATTATACGTGCAATGTTAGTGGGATTAGCATAACTGTTAAGCATCATTTACTATGAAATTTAGACTTCTTCAACGCAAACCATTAATGTCAGCGGTTGTTTGAAATACTATTCTACCAAAAAAAAACACTTAAATATTCTTGTATCTTTTATCTAAAACATTTTTACAATAAAGCTATTTTAAAATTAAACGAAACTTACCTTCCACTTTATTCTTGTCTGCAAAGTGAATCCACTTGCAGGATTTTTAAGCTGGATGTTAATGTTTGAATCCAAATCACTGAAACTTAGCGGCATTTCATAGATGGGCTCCATACCACTTTCAGTGGCTGTTATATCTATTTTCCCTCTCCATGTGTACAGACTAGGATCACTGTTTAAATTTTGGGCGACTCGTAGAAAATCAACTCCATTAAACAAGAAAGTTGAAAGATAGCCAATAAAAACGTGGTCTTTTGTACTACTGATTTCTGTATTAGGACTAAATTGTTTTCTTGTATCTGTGAGATAACTTGTAAGTGATTTTTCAGAAGAACCGAAAATCAGATGATGGTGTGAAAGGTAACGACCGTCTTTTGGAATGTCTGCAATGAAGAAATCCATTTGAACATTACCAGTCACAAGTTTATTTTCAGATAATGGGAAGTTCAGTGCATAATCAAACATAGACTTAATCGTAGTTATTTTCTTACAATAACAAACTTTTTGACGTTCATAATCTCTTCAGTTGGTTACATGGGGCAATATTTATTAAGTATTATGGGTCTGTAATATTGTAAAATCTAACAAAGAACCCTTTCATCATTATTATAACCTTTAAAACAAAAACATTGTCCAGCTAAACTTAGTAGATGTGATGCACGAAAAGAGAAGAATATTTGGAAGTCAATTTTTGATCCTTCGCATTACCAATAAAGTAGGTTTGTTATCCTGTAGAACAGAAATGTTGCAAGTGTGCACATTGGTTTCGTAGAATACAAATGGCTTTCTCTTCAAAAATTTAAAGCAATTAGTTTTTGAAGAGAAGACTGCCTCCTTGCACTATCAAGAAGCTAGATGATCTTATTAACCTAAAGTGCAAAATTATTTCGGAACGTGAAAGACTGGAATAAGTTATGCATTTCTAATCACAAATGCTTTTGTTGTACAAAGAATGTATTTATGCATACAAAAACAATAGAAGTAACTGAAAATGTGATTAAATAATCCCATAGGTCAGTGGAATTATATGTGGTTTAACAGCCCTATGAATCAACTATTCCATAAGAGTATTTATTGTTTGATGATAGAGTCAATTTGATTCCAAAAACGAATGATTAAATTATTGCGGAAATTCTTTTGGTCTTTTGAGATGGTGCACCCAGAGTTCTTACAATTCATGTAAGAAATCAAAAAGTGCCGACTCCGAATTACAGTTAGAAATGCAAGGTTACTAGTCACACGTCACAAAGAATGATCAAAAGGATAGGGTCATGGATGCGAAATTACAGAGCAACCAATGCTCGAGCGCAACATTACTCCATGAATGTTATTTTACTGTCACATTCACTGTAATCATAATGCCTACTCCTTTTTATTTACATATTTAATGATTAAGAGTTGTCAGAACCAAGATTATTTTACAAACTAAGTAGTTGCTATTTTTGATCGCCAGATATCTTGTATAATTAAATATGAGAAGGTATAAAACATATTGTGAAAAGCCGAAATTTTCAATTAATAGATGTTAAGATAAAACTATAGTTCCCTTACTAATTGTCCTATTCCACATTTTAGGACCTATTTTATCTTACTGTAAAACTGGACAACTTTGCTTTCTAATTCCTAGAACACTGAAATGTGTACTTACCATAATATTGAGAGAATTGATCGACTGTGAAGTTGAGCACATTTTCTCTCCTATAAACTTTCACAGTGTGCCAACTGTTGTCTGCTACGAATACCGGGCTGTGATATACCTGAAATAAAGATTAAAACATTAGGATGAAGGTTTCTTCATTAGTCTTTGAGCCTAAATGAATATTTTTATTGGTGAGGTCTATGGTTCTTAGTCTACTTTCAAACCAAATTTCTTCTACGTTTGAACATACGTTTCTAGTAAACGCATCTATCCTAGTGTTACTTGGAAAATAGCATTTAACTAACTGACGAGTTATGGAAAATTTCACTTAGTTTTACTTAACACAAAACTATTTTGGTATTCCTACAGTGATTGATTATCTTGCTGCATAATTTATCTTTCTGGAAAGTTAATCGATCTGCAACTACATTGATTGTAGTTAACCCTATTTTACTTGATCACATACTCACAAGGTATAACTGTTATGAAAGAAATGTGCTAATGTACTAAAGAAATTTATCTTTGAAGTAAGTTCAACTCCATTTTCGACAAAATTAAACGTAGTGGAAATCTGAATTGCTTATACGCTTACAGCAGAGATGCAGTTACGTGAAGTACCAAATAACCTTCAACTAATAACACATTAAAACCAATAGAACTCATAAGTATGTCACTGTCGGGAAGGATTCGCTGCTGTGTAACCATTTCTCCTTTACAATTTGTCTAAGGATATTCAACTATGACTGCAGTTTATCCAGTCCCTTGTCATTGGAAGGGGAAGATCGCTCATCTAAGACAAGTGAGAGCTGACATTTTCAGAAGCTAGACAGAATATTATCAGATTCATATTTTTATATGATTAGTTAACCACTCCTGAAAGCATTAGTAAAATTCCACAGTTTACAATATTTCTTCGTAACCTTTATAGTTGGAAAATAGTTAAGTGGAGGCTTTTAAACAACAGCCTTTCTTGAGCCTTACTTAGTCTATGTCGGCATAACCACTGTGCCACACGCATAGTTCGAAATGTGTGAATTTTGTCAATATTCACAACCGAAATATGATGATTATATTTACTGTCATTTTAATGTAAGCAGGAAAGTTAACTGTCAGTCTACCTATATGTAAACAGTGAAAGGAGTTTGTGGGCAAACTATATGACAAAGTATGGTAGACAGCTGTTTACTGTTTGTGACAGACATACCTACTATGCGTCTGCTTGAGTGAGTTTGTTTTCGAAAATTCAAAATTTTCGACGGTAAGTATGAAACTTGAGTTCTGTTATTTCTACAGAATCTAAACTTAAACGGAGTGTGCATAAATAACTGTCTATTGAAAAATTTCACCACAAATTTTACTCTCAGGAAGTGCTTTAGACAACTGAATTTGAAACGTTTTCAACAATCCATGAGTGTTTAAACACATCCAAAAAGGAATTCCTATGACAATATGCACTTAATCTTGAGGCTGTTCATTGAACATATTTCCATTAGTAATCGTCACTGTTAAGATGATTTCAGATGCTGCAGAAGTGGAACTGAAGGACTTCCTCAAAAATACGTATAAAAAGCTTTTTATCGACAGTGTGAAAACCCTAGCTTAAATGCCAGTTCATAAGTGAAACACCTACTGGGTATATTGCTAAAAGAAAAATAATACCTGAGATTATGATTTGTTCTACACATCAGAAAACTCGGTTCATTTATGCTTCTTTCTCTGTCGATATGTTAAGAATCGTGCAATGACAATCAACAAATGAATTCAGTTATCAAAGGTGTTAGTGACGGTACAATGAACTAGGATTAATGATACGTGGATCTTTGTTTAGTGTAAGCCATTATACGGGCGGTTAAACTACACGCGGCACACTAGTCACTAAACTTCTGATAGTTAGTTACGTATAAATACATTTTTCACTAGTGGAGTCAGCTGTTACGCACAATATGCATGTTTTGACTTTGACATTTGACTGCAAAACAACTAATTAAATTGAAACAAACACCACACATAAAATCACCAATAGCTGTAGGAAGATGAATACATAAAACCTTTATGATAAGTCTTTTTTTATGAATGAGGTTCATAAAGCAATTATGTCGCAATTCTCACTTCATACTTGTATACATGTTAATAGCTTGTATGCTTACATTATCTTTGGCACCCAAGTTGTAAATTAACACTAAGTAACCGGAAATTATTTTTAGTTCTAAACAGTCTGGAGCTGATAGCATAGAACTGCGGGTTGTCAACAAGAATCCATTCCTATATCTTGTTTTGAATCTCAGTGTTAATTCTTCAACTGCAGATTGGATGGGAAGGGGACTAATTTTTATCCATATCCACTGGAATCCATTGAAACTAACAGTAATTGGATCTAAAGAACATAACAGTTGATAAGCAACAAAAATAATTATGACACTTAAATCTGAATTAATGTTAAATTTATAAACATAAATGAAAAGCATTTTTGAACTTGGTTCCTTTACCTGCTGATAAATTGTGATTTCAACAATCTGACTGGAGACATTTTATATATTTAAAGCTAAAATCAACGCTGTACTATATGCAGTCATCAAGCAAGAGGTTCTTCTGAAGCTACTGATCTACTAGGAGAAGAATATTTTCGTCGTAAAAAAATCAGATTTTTATTACGCACCCATGATTTGTAAACTGCATTTCATACTCGTTTTATTCCATAAATTGTCTCATTTTACTTTTCGGAAAGGATCTGAAAATGTTCACTCCACTTCACATACTATTTACACTAGTTAATAACCTACATTTCGATATTTACTATGATTTAATCGGAAATAACTGCAAACTTTTAACAAAATTCATGAAAACAGACTTTCATAACACAGATTTACTTTCCGAATTTTCATTTAGATAAAAAGGGTAGATTAATTGTCACTGTATAATTTAGTTGTTATTGATTTCTAGAGTATTCTGCCTTTTTATGTTGTTATGAAATAAAATGTTATAATAAATAATAAAAGGTTTTATGCGCTTTTTGACTTCGATTATTTAAATATACCTAATTCGCAACCCAACGTAGATAACCAGCCACTGGGCTGAAATGAAATGGCCACGAATTATAACATCTATCATTCTGCACTTTAGCGTCACCGCCATTTATCTTCATAGCCGACCATCTGGAATCATTCCAAACTTGGTGAACTCGCATTCAGTCACTAGCTAGCAGTGAACTAGTTTTTAGCTTTTGACGTTATCAAAACTTCACTCAGTTCGAGACAAATTTCGTCACAGATTGAGACCAGTTAGGAATCTTTTGGAAACCAGGAGAAATAGGAAAATTGGAAATATGAAGGTGCATCACACAAGTTTGACGTGAGTCTACAATTTAACTGGTTGAGCAAGAGTTTATTGGTCCTTTTTAGAATCTTTCTCATCCTCATTTCCTCTTTTGAAAATGAATTTAGGTATGTTTAAATGCTATAAATTCGGCTGCATTTCAATGACTAAAATTCGAAAAACAAAATGCTTACTTTTTATACAGGGTTTCCCAGTTAAAGTGCATTCACAATCAGATTGATTCCAATCAGAAAGACAATGAGCATTGTTTGTACAAGTGTTGTCTGTACACAAATTAGTTGATGAAGAAAGTGTACAACCAAACTTTACAGATGATTTTGACCAACATGAACGACTTTCTAAATCAATATCCCATAATTGTTTATTTACAGTAAAATTGCCCAAACATCCGACAAAATCGTGTCGTAGTTGAGCTGACCAAACGTCAGGAGATATAAATGAGTTGATTTGACGTATTGGTTCAGGAAGACCACCAATATAAAAGTGTTCATTTAAGTTCAAATATTTGTAGCTAAAAATGAGTTGGCAAATATTTTACTGTTCTGTTTCTGTCACATATTAATAAATAGTATAAATGTTTGTAAAAACCACAGATACAAAATACAGTTCATCCATCTGTTGTGCAAACGCCACCTTGTCATACATAACCATATCGCCAAGCGTCACTGACACTACTTTGCAATGACTCTCACATTACTGGTGATACATAGTAGTTATTAAGAAAGTTGTTATCTACTTGGCGTCAGCTAATAAAAGGGATTCACAAAACTCATATACATCGTCTGAGTAATCATCAGCTGGGTAAACCTGCATATCTTTGTGGTAGATTTCTTGCTGAGACCACTAATTAACGATCAGTGTTTTAAATGCCAAAGAGGTGTCCACCAATATACTTAGGCAGGACGATCACCTTTTGTAATTCTTATTTGTATGTAAAATTTAAGTAATCCCTTACACGCCAAATGATACATATTAACTAAAACTATGTAAAAATATTTTACACATCCGCTGCCCTGAATTTCTGGTTGTTTATCCGAGAAACTCGCTAATGATTTTATTCAAAATACCTGCTTTTTAACAGTATGAACTAAACATTAGAGTCACTTGCGTCTCATTACATTCTAAAGTGTTTTATCCAAAACTCATTTATTCTCTTCAGTAGTTGAAAGAACTACAATGAATAATTTCATTAAACCACACAAACAATGGTTTACTGGTATTTTGAATTTATACACCATTTTATTGGATACCCTACCCTTTTCTAAGTATTCGATGTTCACTTATTGGATCTGCTTCTAGGGGCACAATTCTGGCTCACATTTTAATGAATGCGGTTTTCAAAGTATGGTAATTACCTCATATATATATATACATATATATGTAAATTTTTGATTTTTATCCACAGTTATATCTAACTAAAGTTCAGGAAATCAACATCGAGTAGATGAGGTTTTGAGTGAAGTGACTGTTGATTACGCATAATAGAGTAATCATTTTTATCCGGGGACTAAAAAAGTGTACGTATTTACCGATTGTAAAGAAATCGTCAGATACGTACTAGACATTATGATCACCTACACAGGATTAATTCATAATTTCATCCTAATTTTTAAAATGGAATTCTTGCATGAAATATTAACCTTAAAGTGAATATACATCCTTAAAGTATTGTTATAAATACTCTTAAGTTGCATAAATCATGTTAGTTGTTGAGTTAATGGCTGAATATATTGTTGTTGCACACCTATAACTCATAAATCCATTCCTGTTTTTTTACCTACAGACATGCAAAAACAATTTCTTTTTCTTCAAATAGCAGCAAGACTAAAATGCTATCAGACTTAGGCAGAACATTTGTTAGGTGGCCTGCAATGTACTATACTATAGCATTTTGCCGCTAAGATCGCTTCTAGTGAATTACTTACTAGTTTATAAATCGAGGTTTATATTACTAATAATTAATAAATGTAAAACTCGCTGACATTTATTTGTAGAAAACCTGTTCGAAATATCATTTACTAACTTAGTCATGTTCTAATGTGAATTTTCCTTAGAGATACTGAATCATGAATATGAATTCCAAAGTTAAGCTGTGTTTATCAGATAAAACCGTTGTCTTTGTTCTGAGATGTTAGTATGTTCATATTTTATTTTAAGTGGGAGTACATTTATCGTTTTTAAGCGTGATAATCTATCGCCGTTTAATGAAACTTGTATTCTAGTGGTTATCAAAAGTATTCTTTCCTCTTCGTTTTTTGTGTTATAAAAATCCATAGCAATGACAATAAATTATTTTCATGAGAAACATTTCCAGAAATATTAGAGTATTCCAAGATATGCACTGACAGTATTTTAAGGATTTCCCGGGTTGGCTATAAATACAATGGAAAAACGAAAACGAATACAACCAAATTTGCGCAGGAGTACTTACGTTTTTGATTCAGCTCCATAAGTAACAAAATTCTTTCCATCAACGTTAATCGTTACATCACCTTCATCAAACACAATTTGAACAGCGTGTTCATTTCCATCAGATACAAAACCTTTACTCTCAGATTCAATGTATTTCCTACTAAACTCTGGCTGTACTATTCCTGATCCTGTATTCACTAAAAAATGTAGTCTTCCTAAGCGTATTTCTAAAGCAAATATATCAAATCCCATTTGTCTCAATCCTTGAACATTTTTTAGTAATGTAGTTTCGTTGACAATTTTCGGATATAATTTATGTTCAGCAACTGAGTTACTGTACAGAATCAATCCGTTTAAAGTTGTTGTGCGTAGAAGAAATGTGATTTCACCATGAAGAACAACTTTCCATCCTCGTGTTCTTAAAAAGCTACCTGGTCTAGTGAATGATATGAAACTTTGTTTTTTCTCAAGATTTATGTTGACTTTCGGTCGCAGTAGCTTTAAATCACAACGTGACATATTTGACTGAGGTGGGATTTCAACTTGAATATGTTTCCTACTGTCTGTAGCTAGTAGTGGTATAGAATTGTCCCCGGTCTTATAAAGAAGCTAAAAAAAGAGCATGAACTTTATTAAATATTTTTTGTTGAGGATAAAAATGAAACCATTTAGAAAGGTAGTAACATTAAAAAGTTAAATTGGATACATGAAACTACATGGTGCTTTCAATTTTCTATTCATATTCAAACCATTCTGAGTTAATCGAAACGTATTGCAAGTTCTCATCGTGTCTCCAGGCATCTATAACTCAAGTCCTGTTAATTACATCTTGTTCTAGTTACGAAATATCACTCTCTTTAGTATATTACTTTGAAGACACGTTATGAACGCTCTTGTTTATTGAATATGTGTCATTTTTCAATCAAATAAATTAAAATTAAGTTTCTGCAGAACAAATTGTGGGAATCTGACCATATGTATTTAATAAATGAAATTGACTAAAGTGATGGAGCCGAATGATGAAAAACGAGTAATCAAACTATGGAGCACAATAAAAAAATGTAATTTCATGGCAAATGATGTGCTTATTGATCATTTTACTTCCGAGACCTGTATGCTTTTGACCCTAGTATTTGTTACGTCATAATTTTTGAAAATCTTCAGGAGGAAGGGTCGATTTATATACATATATATACGGTATTTCACTTAACATTGACATCATTTAACTTTCGTTTTAACTTGTCGTATGCAAACAGACTTTTATCTACAGATACACTTTCAGTGTCATATAAATTATCTATCCGAGAATTTATTTTCCCAATGGGATTTTAGTAAAAGTAAGGAGCGTGTTTAAGTACACTAGGCTTTAAATAATGTTTATTTGGAGGTATTTTAGAATTGTGAATCTTAATTGTCTGTCTTACCTAAACATTCCGAAAATACTTGAAATTCACGGATACCAGTTAAGGTTTATCAGATGACGACAAATTAGCACTGTTAATTTTAGCCTTTTAAATGTGCACAAGTCAAATCTAACTCTACAAAAAGGCATGAAAATAGGATAGATAATCAAATGCATTAGACTCAAAGAAATACTGCCAAGAGGATTCCAGAATTTATTAACTTTAGTTTCACACTGTATATCCTAATTTCTATATCCATAAGAGCTTTGTATCGAAGAATCCCAGCTTTAACACCTACCTCACAAACGTTTGAATACGAAGCAGAGTTTTGAAAAACCTATACTGATTCTGTGCGAATAGATTTTGTTACGCACAAAGCTTTTCTAACATAACACGTTTTTCGAACGTAACTGGTGTCGCCTTTCCGACAAAATAATGTTGCGACTTTCATTTATACGCGGTAATTATTATTACTTAATAGCGTATTTTTGTGTCTAAGCATAAGTAAGACTCTTTTCATGGGCTTCTCAGCCTTTACAAATATTTTAGTAAAAAATGAAGACGGATGTTTTCTATTTCCAGTCAATATATGAAAATAGAAAATAGTAGCTTTGTTTTCAAAAAAAACGAAATGATTCCGTGGAAATTAAACATATGTTTTGGAAGAAGTAAACAAAACTAAAAGAACTTCTAGAAGTAGATAAACTTACTGATCGAAAACATCCTCTAAAATATGCTTGATCTATAGCAACGGGAAAACGTTGAGGGGTAACAGGCTCTGAGTAGTTCAGTATATTTGTTCCAATATACATAGTTTTAAAGGCAAGTGATCGTCTTTGAGTTGGACAGTTTAACTTCACAAATGATTGATTATCTAGTACAACAAATAGCTGAAAGAAAGAAAGCCCCTGATAAATTGGTATATAATTAATAAAAAACAGCTTAAAGTAATGGAAGTAAATAGTGGTTCATCATTAGTTGAGGAAATAAAAAAGATAAATGCAGTTATTTTTTGCCTTTCCGTGTGTTGCAACCGTACACTTTCAACTGACAAAATTTAAAAATGAATGAAACAGTGGAAGTTCCGATCAGTTCTGTTTGATATTTACAAAAATAGAATGACACTAGTTAGTATCCAATACAGTCCTACGGGAGGTCGGTCGTGAGCCCGAATAGCTTAGTGGTAAAGTCTCTGACTGAACCATTGGGTGACAAGGGTTCGAATCTCAGAAGGGAGACGAGTTCCATCAAGATTGCCAACAAGCGCGAAACTTAGGTCCAAGGCCTCCCGTTGATAGCTTCCAACCATTTAATAGCAAATATGTACAAGATACACAAAGAATTCTTACACTGAACACTTACCACGTAACTAAAATACGAAAACCTGAAGTACTGTGTTCCACTCAGAATCAAAGGGATAAATTATAGTAAAATATGAAAACGGATTTTATCATCTTTTGGTAACATACTTTATGGTACAGTTGATTGTTTTACTTGTTAGAGGGAGTATTTCGCCTGAAATTACAATAACTTAGAAACAATAACCTATGTACTGTTTTGTTTGAGTTTTCTGAGTCACTAGTTTCATGTTCTCCTTTTCATCGATTTATAGCTTAGTCGAGTGTTAATAAATAACATGAATTATGAAATTAAAGTACTGGCTAGTAGAAGAAAAAAAGGTGGTTAAAAATAACCTACATCATTTTGTTTGATCATTATCACAACACTGTGCCACTGTGTATCTGCACAAGTATTATAGTCTGATAGGCAATTTATAAGGCGCTCAGTATCGTTCAAACAGGAATTTATTAACGGAAAGTGACTTGACGGTCTAATAATCAACGACCCATTTAGTAAATAACCATGCAAGTACAAAGCGACTGGTTTTTTCACTTCAGTCTTCCACAGATTGAATAATTCTGTTCAGAAAATGAAAAAAGAACACGGGAAAAAAGGTGACATAGTTCAACACATAAAAGAAGTAGTAAATATAACACTGCTCCCCTAAAGTTTCACGTGCTGTAATTGAAAACCGCCCATATCAGAAGTATATTTAGTGCCTACGCTTTTGAAGGAAAACAAAGAAAGGTTAATTATTTTAAACTTAAGTGTAAGTAGTATCTTTCTGATCTTAAATCGCAAAGCTTTCTGTCCTGAATAAATATTTGCAGCATGATTAAGTCACAGTAAATACTGATTTAAGATGTGTATGAAGGAGAATATCGGAGAAATCAAGTTTAAAGTAAATTGTTTCAAAAGTTTTGACCTTTTTTGCTGCCTATGCTAATTTTGATCATTTCACTGACCTGAAGACTTTTAAGTAAAGATTTGTAACGATGGATAGCCGGTCAGAATTTTAGCCTATTTACCGAGAAATAAAACAGCAAACACCAACAGAGAAAAAGCAATGAGTTTTATTCAACTTTGCAATATGCTAATTACTTAAACATGTTATGTGCATAACGGACATTGATGTTATTTCAATAGATTAATTACTTCTATTCAATTTTTAGAAAAGACATGTAATTCATTTCGTTAAGATTAGATAAAAATATGGGAAACTTGGTGCATAATGTATATGGACACATTTTTTGGTTCTTTTATTTGCATCAAAGTAGATAGAAAGCGGAAGGTAGAGTAATGTAATTCTTCAAAGATGGTAGAGTTCCTCATAGCTGATAACCGAAACCAGCTCCGCCACACTCAAAACACCTAAAGCTAAACGTTTAGAGATGAATTTACATGACAAAATACGCAGAGACAACTTACATGAAAACTAAGGGGATGCAAGTCATTTAAAGCAAATGAAATAATAAGTGACTGAAGGGAAGGGATGATTATAATACAGGAATAATAAGAAACTTGAGACACTGCTACTTCTACGACTGCTAATCAGAGAAGCAGTACTAAAGTAGGTCAAATCTAATAGTAGATTAATTTTGAACAAGCTACGAGGGTTTGGTTTTAATGGATGCCTATCATTTTAGCATTTATAAATAAACATAAAATCATGAACATTATTTTAACGTGAATTGTTTGATTCATATGTAATATGTGTTTTGTAGAAGATGATGGTAGTCTGCCATGTACACTTATCAGTGTTCCAGAGTTCATTTGTTTTCCGAGCCATTTAGATGCAAGTTAACTTGCACTTACATAGAAACGCGATTACTTCTCCACATATGTTTTTTTTCACACATTTGAAGTGTTAGGGGAACGAAAGCATACTTCATCACAAAGTTCACAATCCAAAAGTGATTATAATTTCTAGAGTGATGTTACTGTAATTGCTGCATAAGTAGTAACACATAGTTAAGCTGCATTCTGATCTATAATAATAGACATAAGAACTTAATCTGAACAATTGGTGACTCTGAAAGCTTATTAGACTATCCAGATTAATTAAAAGTACTTAGAGGTATGATTTTGAAGTTAATAAGTGATTTAATGCATACTCCAAAAGCTGGTTTCCATTTACACTAGAAAACTGTATCTCCTGGAGAATTGAAATGCTTATTCGTTTTAAATTTCACTTTCTTGTCTGATGCTTATTTTGTACATCCTGTAAATAAACAGCTTCATACGAGGTAACCTGTAATAAAAGTATTATATCTTTTTATTAACGAAGATTAATTTCACTTATACCTCTCCAATGATTGATTAACTAGATAATTTAAACATATGCATTTATTTGTTGTTATTAATCGGATGACTTCAGTAAACTACTTCTGCATAAGAAGTACTTAATGGTAATCATAGATTAACAACAATAAATCTTCCAAAGTCCTACTTTAGACACTCTAAAATCCTTTCTGAATCAAATGAAATATCTAGTCATATACGAAATCTTCAAGTACTGGTTTTGTAGGGATTTTGTTTGATTGCATGGAGGTGGCTCTCTAACTGATGTCAGCTCATAATGAAATCCTCCATGCAAATGCGAAATAATCGCCACATTAGGAGAAAGTTTCAGGACAACTCGATCAACTGACTTGGTATTTTCATTCATAATGCAGGTGTTGGATATCCTTAATTTCGCCTCATTTTTGCCTAAAAGTAGCCTAAAATCTTCAAATAAATCTAGATTTGTTTTTTTCTCATATTTGGCTCTTTTAATGTTTCCCTTTGTTTTTCACGACTAAGACAGTGAAAATGCTTGCGTTTCTCTAATTAAAAAGAGATATTTGCATCGAAGAAAGTTTTCTTTTTTACGAATTCATCAATTAGGCTATACATTCGTGTGTTTATAATAAATGGGTGGGAAAGTTCCAGAATAATTTCTGGTCAAGGGTCAAATTAATAGAATTACAACTAGGAATTAAAATGCCATAATAAACAGGGGGACGGATAAAGCTCAAACAAAGCAGCAACATAATTGCTGAGAAGATTAACATATTGTGCAATTAGGGGTTAGAAATATAGAAATAATAAAATGACAAAATAGACAGGAAGTTCGGATGTGAAAATATGGTAGTGTAAATAGGGATTAAGAAAAACTTAAAAATAACATGAATAAACAGGAACTTCGGATAAGAAAAGCAATGGGATAGTCACTGTTAAAAGAATTACCTGTTTTTGATGGCGATGGCAGGGACAAGGGTTGGACTATTTCTTTTGGACACATAGCGTGGGTTTGAACTTTGGAATGGCTAGTCTCTCAGCTATGCCCAGATGTCTTAAATTATTCTGTAACTTTCCCACTCATTTATTATAAATACAAGAATGTACAGCCTAGTTGATGACTTCGTCGAAAAGAAAATTTTCTTCGCTGCAAATGTCTTTTTTTATCATTCTCTATGATCAAATGTGTATATTCCGTGATTTCCTCTAATTGCTTCTGTGTTTCACTGGTATAGTTCTTGTTTTGATTGATCCTGTGAATATCTATTAGAATAGATTTCTTATCAGGTTAAGTTCGCAAAGTTCGCATTCTGATAGACTGTATTATCACTCATATCAGGACGTTACATGCAGAAAATCGTAAATCCATTTTTCAAAAATATTAACCTACTGATTATGGAAGTCAACTAAAGCTTTAGATATAAAAACTAAAAGCACCACATGAACCTGTCTTCTTGAATTTTTTTAATGTCAACTCAAGTGTGATGGCAAAATATCAACAATAAAATTCAAGATATTCTACATCTTTAACGGAAACTCTTAGGTAGATTAGGTCTTACATCCATTGAAAAATAAAGGTTACTGTAACTAACACTCAACTTGATGATTAATATTCCCTCGCTTGTCATTCTGTCCATTCGCCCATAATGATATCTTCCTCTAAAATACTTGGCAGTCTATGTAATCGTAAACTTTTGGAGCGATTCGATTTTGCCATGTAGATGACCCTGAAGGATGAATCACGTGGGGCTGAATGACCAGACTCTAACAGGTGATCACAAATAGACGACTTCGAAGTTCTACGTTCGCCTTTCATTAACCAAACCGGATAGTGTTCAGCTACACGTTTTCGGAGATTACGCTTACAACGTCCAAAATAATCAGCTCCACAAGAGCAGGTAAAAGAGTAAATGCACACAGATGTGGACATAAGCAGTAATCTATCCTTGACGCATTGTCTAATCATATTTCGGTTGGTAAAAACTAGTTGCAAGTCAGCTGCAGGAAAAGTGCGTTTAATACATTTAGATAAACGATTTTTAATCAATTCAGAAATGGTGTCACCTTTGAATGCAAGACTCATAAACAGTTTTTTCTTTGGCACTGTGATTTGTCTAGGAGCGGATTCTTTCTTGATGTTACGTTCAATAAACCTTGTAGGATAACCATTGTTAAGGAGATTTGATCGAAGGTTATCTAGTTCACAATCGATTATCTCTGTAGAGCAGATTTTACGAATTCTGGAGCATAAGGAATGAATAAGATTTCTCTTTCTCCCTAAAGGTACCCAACTGTTGAAGTTAGTGTACTGCCCAGTGAATGTTGGCTTTCGGTAAATCGACCTCAACAGTTTATATAATCATTTACTTTGCAATTAAATATCCAATATATATGAAGAGTAAATAGTATCAATTAGATTTCATGTAAAAAGGCGATTATTAACGTCTATTCCTTGAATGCATTGCATCCTTAGTGCATTAAAATGACACAAGCGGCAGTTTTCTGTCACTATATACTGATAGATCAAAATGTTAAACAATTTTCTTTCTTTTTAAAAAAAATTATGGCTACTTATTAATAACAAGAACTCACCAATACTGAACATCATTTGATTTTCATCGCGTGTTCTAAATTCTAGAAAAATGCTTTCATCAGATTTTACTGTAGTAAAATGAAATTTGGCATAGTTTTGGCCATTTAAATTGAGTGTATTGTGTGGTTCATCTAAAATAAAAAATAATAAAAAAGTAAACAAAAATAAAAGTTACAGCAAAACATCAGTAACACTTTTGTCTAAATAATAATACAACAACACTTTTTAAATTCTGAAAAGTTTTAATATTTTTCTACGCAGAAATTGAGCATTGAAAATTTTTTATACAATGGCAACTCTTTTCGTAACAAAGTTATTCATAGACAGCGCTGACATAAGACAGGAAGTAGTGACAACGTTAATAACAACTAACTTTAATAAAATCGCATGAAAATTTCTTGGAAACTTTTCATGAGACCTGGACAGAAATCTTTATTACATTTTCAGACAACAGACTTTTTGTATGATAAAAATACCACTTATTGTGAGCTTTTTAAAATAATCTATTGTAAAACTTTTGGAAAAGATGTCAAGAATACACATTCCTTCTACTGTTCAGAACCAACAAATTTATATATCAGTATAATGTAACTCATGATATGTATAAATATATATTTTTTTTTATTCCTTTACGTTCCCAGTGGAACATAGGATTTCAAGCTAGAGGTATGAAGTTTCGGTAGTAGTGGTGTTTATTTTTACGGGATGGGGTTGCTAACCTCATGTCCCACCTCCTCTCTTTACCGATCTTATTACTGGTTTAGCAAGGTAAAGGAGTGTGTCGACCGGGGATCGAACCCAGCACCAAGTGCGTGGCTGGTGAGTATTCTACAGCTGGGCCAATGACGCATATATATATACATATTATAAAACGCCTGAAACTGAATTACATATGGAAACCATTGCTATTTTTACCCATAAGGATTTATTACAATTTTGCCCTTATTGTGTCCGTGATTTATATCTTATGGAGTTAATTCAAAATAAATTTGCACCAATGGGTTGTCCTGCATGCTCGAACTGCTATCCGTTCAAATTCTATTACATAGTTTATTCAGCTTTCATGAAGAAATTAATAAAGTCCTGGGATTAAATGGCACATCTGTATGTCTTATGTGATGACATATCTAATAAAACCACTGCATATTTGTCGTAATTGACTTAACACGAATTAAAAGCAAACGGTTAATACATTGAATGACTAAGTTTCAAAGTAGAACTTTTCACAAAAGTGACATATTTTAAAAGCACACAAATGTGACGAAACAAAAACTTGAAAAGAACTGCAGTAAACCAAAATGCGTGAAAGGAATTAAATGGAAAATAACGACAATCTAATGGACGTGAGAGTTCATAAAGAGTGACATCTGTAAAATTTTTAGCCGTATCATCAATAGTCTATACCCACTGGTTCATTATGCCTGGACCGCCCAAGCTAGGGAGTCAGTACCACTATATCTGGTTTAAACTAACAGTAGGAGATTTCGTGAATAGATGCCAGGTTTCTGTTCGGCCACCCCTAAATTTCTTCCAACCTAATCCTATGCCAGTTAACACTGCTCAGCGAAGGAATTAGTATCTCGGTATGCGTAGCACTTGTTCCAGCTATTTCACTCAATGCAGCTTAGGGGCATCATCGGTTGAGTTTCCCTCCTTGTCGAGCACCTTACATTCAGCCTTGATATTACTCACTATAGTTTGCCTCTTAATACTAGAGACGAAACACATATACTTGTACTCATAGACAGACAGTCTTCATATCTTTCACTTTTAACTGCTATATCTCACTGTTATCTAGAGGGATGGAACAAATTTCGGTGCAGGTTACACTTCTTTTGATATGTAATGAGATATCACGTCCAGGCCAGAGATAACAGAAGTTAGTGAACACCGCAGAAACCTTTGGTATCAGTGTTGAGACTTCGTCCATTAAGACTGAAGCTCCTTCCCAAATAAGTGGAGTGGTCAATACTTAACCGTTTTACTCTCCATTTTTAAACTAGGAAGAGATGTAGACCACTCTTGTGGCATCATCTTATATTTGACAGAGACGAATCGTATGTTAAGTGCATCAAGATTCCTCCTCAAGACGTTCAAGAGACTCTGCATTTTGTCACCATCTTCGTCTAAAAGGGTTAAAACATTCTCATACTCGAAATCAGCAAGAATGTATCCTGACAACAAATTAATCACTTAGTTGCTAAATTTGATCAGGGTCGTATCTAACTGTTATCACTTCAGATGATACATTACAACGGAACAAAAACGTTAATTAAGAACCTTTGTCTTCATAGTATGTACAGCGTAAAATCAGCATATTATTGATTAAATAATGATTATTTTTCCGAAACTGTGAACCACATGGGTGTTTCAAATGAGTTCATGGTTTCATTTGATGCAACCTCCATGTTCAAAATGTTTTCAATCAATGAAACTATTGAAACCATTTATCAGCAGTCTGATCGTCTCCCACTTTCAGAGTCGCAATTCAAACGACTACCGCTAATGTGTACCATGGATGTGCAATTCCAATTTGAAAACAGTCCTTACCGCCAAATAGATGGTGTAGTTATGGCCAGTCCACTTAGCCCTGTTTTAGCAGATACATGATCAACCTTGAAATAACAAAGTTAAAGCATACAATCGACGAAACAACTTCTGACTGTTGACATGTTGATGACACATTTGTAGTGTGCAACAATGAAAGTCATTCTCCCTACCTACACAAATTATTTAACGACGCACATACCAACAATGAATTTGCTACGGAACATGAAAATGATTGAAAGTTCCACTTCCTCGACACTGCCATACAACGCTTAGAAGGTGGTAGCTTCCAGAGGTCAATTTACCGAAAGCCGATATGGAATAGAGAATACTTACATTATAATAGTTTTTGTCCAAATAGCTGTAAACAAGCACTAGTCAAGACTCTGTACTATAGAGCGGGGAGAATATACTCTGCATAGAAATTAGAGGAAGAATTTGTAATTCTCAAAAAGATTTTCTATAGTTTGATTTGTAAGGATTAGTTATGTTTTACGAGTTGATCACGGACTGATATCAGTAAGAGAACCATTGAAAACCAGGGAGTACTGGACAGCTGCTGTTTCATCCTAGTTTGGGAAAATTATTCTGATGCTCGCTAGTGACTTGCTACAGGTTGGAGCTTCCTGGAGTTCTAGTGAGAAGTCGTGACCAATGAGGTCCAATTAGATGTCACGTGTGTGGATGGATGTCCCACCAACGACAATGGTTGGAGTCGCGCTAAAATCACGAATTGGTAGAAGTTAGAATTCATGAGCCATTGAATCGGGTCCCAGTGGCTGAATGGTATAAGAGCTTGCCTTGTAACCGGAAGGTCCTGGGTTCGAATCCCGGTGGGTGCGTACTCCCGATGATTCCCAAACTAGGATGAAACAGTAGCTGTCCAGTACTCCCTGGTTTTCAATGGTTCTCTAACTGATATCAGTCCGTGATCAACTCAAAAAGATGTTGAAAAGCAAAGGTTACTCTCGAAGGTTCATAAACAAATATGAAAGATATGAAGGCTCAAATGTCAAGCAAATCACAGTGGGAAAAAAGCCCACCTTTATTCAACTTGATTTTAAAGGTGCAAATATTACAGCAATAGTCAAGAGAAGATTGAGGACGTTACTAGCAAGGGCCTATCCTGCAGCTAAGATGATTCCTGTCTATCGAACAACTTGCTCTTTGGTGCAATCAAAAATCAACAGATATCCTTCTCATGTTAACTCCAACTGTGTACACAAATTTACATGTATCTGTGAGAGCAGTTACATCCGAAGAACAGAAATAAGGGCACACTTCCGATTTTCTGAACATGTACCGAAAAGCCTACGTCTCAAGGGAACAAACGCTTACAATAGTGTCATTACTAAACATCTCTTTGATACAGGTCATGAAGTGGACGTCGCAAGATCGTTCAAAATTATCAATCGACAAGGAGTTCAATTCTGCTTAAGTTTGCCAAAGCGATTTCCATCAAATGCCTGAAAACCGATTTATGCATTCAGAAAAAAGCGATTATAAGTCTTTCCTTGCCCTGGTAACTAGATATTCTCACCTTCTCTTTTATCTGATGTCATAATATCGAAAGTTTCCATTGTGTATGATCATTGATGTTTAGGATAAAGTGTTTATTAATACATATATTATTATTGTATGCATATATTGATTGAATTTTGCTTAAAATTGACTCCGTGAAAGTATGTTAGAACTGTTTGTGTAGATATACTTAATAATGTCTTTAGGCTGTAGACAGCTGATGAGAAGCCGACGAAATAAATGATGGTACCATTTTATTTTGCGAAAACTTTTTCTCTAACTTTATTTAAAGTGATAAGGTTTAACTGGGAAAAATGCAGTTTATTTGCAACTTTACCTACCAAGATGTCGTTTAGAACCTTTAACTTTTAACGAATTTAATTAAACATTATAAGCTTTGGAAGTGAAATAAGCCTTAATAAAACAAAATTTTTCTTGAAATAAAATTTGCGATCTTACAAGGGGATTTTTTTATTAACAACAGCATAATTTTGTATTTGCTTAACTAATTTTGTTTACTTTGAAAATGCAAATTAAAAAGTTTCAAACTTTTGCAGAATTAGTTCCAGTTTTTATCGTTGTAGGTCACACCATTCAAGCTATTTAGGGTAATTTAGTTTTTTGATGCGATTAATTTGTGTCTGTATGTGCATCTATTTTGCAAAAAGCATACTAAGTGATACTGCCTTTAGCTAGATGAAAGTCTTTGTGTTTACCTCTCCGTGTCTCTAACTTATAACATTTCCGCTACTATCCTTTCAACGTTTAAAGTATATTATTCTCATGCTCTTATAATCATTGTAGTTTTAGGCAGTTTTCTGCAAATTATAACAATGTGAAGTAATATTGTATTGTTTTATAATTCGGTCTTTCTTGTTTTATCAAAATTTATGAAGTAAAGCAAATGTATGAAACGGTTTTAAGGGGTGAGAAAATGAATATAGATCAGATTGAAACGTTATATTGAGGGTTGGAATAAAAATAAGATCAATAAGGCAAATTTTGGTCTTAAGACAAAATTTACCAGGGGAGATTTGATGCGATAACGAAGCGTTTGTGAACA